TTGCGCTGCAGTGCTCATAAGCTTACAAGAAACAGGCTGATGGGAGGAGAGAGCAGAGTTACAGGTAGTTGAGCTAATCAGTCGGCTGCTTCTCCTTTCACTGTCTAGTTGCAGCATGGGAGAATGACAACACCTGTAAGCGTTACTTAACCGCAGCACAAAAACATTAAGACTTCTTCCCTCTGCCACACAGCCCTGTGTGGTGTGGCAGAGCTGTATTAATCTCAGGACTGGATGGTTAGAAATGATAATCCATTGGGATGTACTGTAGGCCATCCGTGTATTTAACAGATTGCCTGGAAATAATAATAAAAATAATAAAATAATAAAATAAAAAAGAATACACAACCAAAAACTTTTATAGTTTCAAGCCATTTCAAGCTCCAAACGAAAATCGGTATGCTGAATATTTATTTGACATCAGAAAACAGCGCCCTCGACTGTGTGACAAGGTGACAGGTACAAATTAAAAGACTAACACACCTCCAATGTATTCACTAATGCATCCATCATCTATTCCAGCAGCCGCCTGACAGATCAGCTGTATGCCGGCAGACTGAATTTTCCCTCTTATCATAGAAATCGATAGCTGACAGGTGCATCTGAGCAAAGGCGTGTTGTCGTTTTAGAACAATCAGGGGAACCCGACATGACAGACATTTCAGTCATCTGAAAGTGAGCAATATAGATACGGCTGGGCCATTCTCTTATAAGATGACCCTGTAAAATTTAATATAACTGGCTATAAATGGGTAAAGCAAAGGGGGGGAATTATATGAGGCACTCATCAAAATGCTTACATATAGACATCCTTAAAATTTATAAAAATTTATTTTCTAGCTGCCTCATTTTTGGGTGTGCAAGAACTACTATAAAATTTCAGTCAGACTCCGATCATAAAAAGAGCAAACGCATTTCGGAGTTCAGGAGTCTTCCAATTACATCAGTCCAGTATTCATTTTGTGCAACAGTAACAGGCCCTGATGAATGGGGGCCCTTTGAAACCCCAAAACACGTTGGATTTTTAAATGATACAAAATTTTAAATAAAATAAAATCTGGAGTTCATATGTTCTGCTTTTGGCTCTTTCCTCCTTTTCAGCATCCAGTCCTTGCTTGAACAAAGAGTTGATTTTCAGCCAATACTCCCGGGAGAGCTACCCAAGGGAGACTCCTTCCCTCCATACTGCCCAAGACCTGACTGAACACCTACTACTTTAAGCGATCCAGAACCCTGCATCTTTCTTCTAACTTCCCTCATTCTTGGTTAGAGAGTTTCCTTTATATCCCCGGTGCCCAACATACAGCACAAAGGCCACATTTGGAACCTTGGTGCTTACCATGCTGACCTTGGGCAAATATGGCTGCCCCATCCACATTTATAATTACAAATTTTACATCTCAACAAGGTTTTAAAAAAAGAAAAAGCCTGGACGTATCCCAGGAGCCAGATAGCCAAATGTTCCCTAAAAATGACAGCCAACTTTGGAGGTTTCCTTTAGTGGTTGAGGAGCTGGCTCCTGGATTGGACAGACTAATGCCGGGGTGGACAAATATTCAGGAGCCAAACACATTAAGATTATTTTTATCAGCCGGATCCCTTTTTAAAATTGCTAATGCTATTCATTCCCTTTAACACAGGCAAGAGCCTTGGTCAATAACCCAACTGGTGCCCACTTGAACAGAGCCAAGACTAAGAGGATGGATTCCAATTGGCTGAAGTGGGTCTTTTACTGAACAGATCCACTAGTTTTTACATTTGTGACTTCCTAAAATATATACACATACACAATAGCTTTTGCATATACACACGCAGCCTGGCCAAAAAAACAAAAAACAGTCCCCACCTGGATTCAGCTAAGCACATACTTTAAAGACTTCCATTCGATAAGTACTATGATCTGGGGCTGCTTCAGTTGGTCAGGTCTATGTTCAGCAACATTATGTCCCCAAACAATGAGGTCAGCTGCCTATCTGAATACACTGAAATGACCAGGATTTTACAACAATGGATTTTTTTTTCCATTTCCCTCATGGCACATTGGGCATTCAGGGAACATGAGGTATCATTTTCACACATGGATTGGCCACCCGAGAGTTCAGACCTTAACCCCATTGAGACTCTTTGGGGGTGTGCTGGAGAAGACTTTACACAGTGGTCAGACTCTCCCATCATCACTACAAGACCTGGACGGAAATAAATGTTGTGACGTTACATAAGCTTATGGAAATGATGCCATGGCGAATGCGTGCCGTAATCACAGCTAAAAGGTGACCCAATGAAATATTAGAGAGTGTGACTTTTTTTGGCCAGGCAGTGTATATATACACATTCATACACACAGATTTGTTTTGTTAAGACTTTCACCCTACATAGGATTAAAAATTATTCTCTAGTAACATACCAAAAAAAAAAAGCCATAGATTTAAAATTAAAAGAAGTATCTGAACACAAGGGTTGGAGGAGCTGATCTTCTGAATTTGGGGATAAACCCAGAGACTTTGCAGTACAGATAACAGGAATGGCCACAGCTTGGCAGCTTATGCTGGGATCTGTAGTCCCAACACAGATGACGTACATTGGATGAAGAATTCGTCATGCAAAGGACACGACTGAGGAAAAAAAATATAGAACAGAGGGACTCTTCTCATGTCAGAGTTACAGATCACTTTTTTTTCCCCCCTCCAAAACGAAGTTACAGGATACAAAATGCTCAGCCTATCCAGCAATTTAGATGTCAATGTTGCCTCTTTGTTTCCAGACATGTCACCCCTCAGTAAGTGTAGCAACAGCATTTGTCATGACATCTCATGAATATGCATTCGTCCCGAAGATAACACAATGAGGACACAGACAAGCGGGTGGGTGGGGGGCGGGTAACACAGCGGTGCACAGGTTTTCTAGGCACTGCAGCTTTAAGAGAGGCCTGACACGTATATAGATGCAGAGCATCGCCTGTGAGATCAGCAAGATGGTTGCTGCTTTGCTCATAGGTTTACAAGAATAAATGAGAAACCAGAAGGTGATTACTAGTCTGCATGCAACATTAGTGAATACTTTCCTTCCCATTTCCTCCACTTCCTGACAAAAAAAAAAAAAGAAAGAAAGAAAGAAGGTTCTGCTTACAGCTCCCCTCCCCCTCCAAATCAACCTCAATACTTCGGTCCGAATTGAGCCACATCCTTCCTAGCATAGACGCTAATCAAATCTGACAGAAGCTTTATCTCTCTTGGAATGTATATGGTATCTAATGTGTTTAACTGTTCTGCATCATGCCAGAATCGTAGACGAAGACTGGCGGTTAAATTTAAAAGCGAGTTAGCTAGGGAAATGACAATCCTATGATTTGAGGAAATGAACACAGGGGCTCCCTCTGCGAGACATTCACACAACGGTCAATAAAAAAATATAACACATATGATATATATATATATATATAATACACACACACATATACACAATATATCAGAAATAAACACTTGCACTACTTCTGGACTGCAATGCACATCCATGCTTTTTGGTTCGCTGTAGCATAGGGTCACATGCCACGCATTGTGATGCAAGTGCATGATTGCACTCCTTAAATGTATATGCATAGGTGTGAATAGAGCCTCAATGCACATTGTAAATTGTTGCCATCTTACATGCCATAGCAAATTTTGAAGACCAATGTCCTTTCATTAACGGCCCATGCACATCTATACATTACGGCACATTCGGCAATAGTGCCTTGCCATTCATTTTCAATTACACCACAAAAACTATGGCAAGATGCATTCGGTGCATATGACTTGCAGTGCACATTAACATATGGCATTGCACTGCTTAAAAAAACAAAAAAATTAAA